CAGACCACTTGTAGTCTCTTAATAGTCTTTCTCCAATTAGAGTAGCACCCAAAGTCTCCATCTCTCTCCTCCATGTAGAAACACCAAGCATCCCCTCTCTGTCCTCAGCAAGCCACTCTACTTAAGGTCAGTGGAGGAACCCTGACCCACCTCCTCCTCTGGATTCTAGCCCAGGAGCCACATATAAAACATCTATAACCAGCTTTCAGTCCATTACCTTCTGCATCCACAAATCGGCTCTTACCTTGCCACTGGGAAAGCACCTTCTGTCCTCCATCTGCTGCACTTCTCTTGCATAGGTGCCCAGGCAACCCTGCCAATGCCCGTCACCACAGGAGGCTACCATCATCGGTGCCTTAGCCTGTCTGAGCCAAACCTTCAGGTCGGCCCCAGTAACAACTGCTTCACCACACAACCCAGTTCAGACCTGTTGACAAGCTGCAGGCAATCACCTGGCCTGTTAAGCCATCTCTGTCCCCACAGGAGCAACAGATCCCTCTCTTGTTTTCGCTGCTCCAGCCAACCTTTAGCTGCTCTGCTTTCCCCCTTTATAAAACCTGCTACTGGTGTGGCTGGAAAAGCTACTTAATCTAGGCTGGCCAGCCTCTAGGCTTCCCCGCCCTTAAAAGGGATACTCTGTGTTAATGTGTGTTAATCACCTGAGTTTCTTTTGTGGCTGTGAAACAATGTCACTGAATTTCCATTTGGAACTAACTTCCTTTCATTCAAACAGGATCCTCAGTGCTTTTACTCTCAGGATATACCTTGGTTTATTTCCTGTTGTCTTGGGATGCCTATGGGGAATGCTTCTGAAATGACAGTGGGTTATATTGTGTGCCCTGGTATCACTGAATATGCACAAATATTCTTGTTCTCACTGCTAAGTAAAACCATTTTCTATTTGCCACAGATCGGTGCCATGAAGGAGGTCAGTCCTACAAGATTGGTGATACGTGGCGCAGACCTCATGAGACAGGTGGCTATATGCTAGAGTGCGTGTGTCTAGGAAATGGGAAAGGTGAATGGACCTGCAAACCTGTAGGTATGTAAGGGTTTTGACATATTTCTTTGAGAGACCAAGCTTTTAAAGTGTTTGGCAGAAGTCTGCAACAAACGCCATTAAACAATCATATACTCGAACAGAGCTTGCTCATTTTACTTGGTTTGGGCCTGTAGCCTACTTTAACTTAAGCTGGTGGACCAAACAGTTTTGTGCACTGCCAGTGGCTCTTAATCTTTTTTCACGTTGAGATCACACTTCTGTTTAGTAATAGGATCAACAGAAGAACACCTTCCTCACACCTGTGCATACCCACAGTGAAAACCCTTGGAGTGTAGAAATAACATGCATTTAAAACAAATGAGAGAGAGAACACTGACTTTTCCTTTATTCCTGTAGCTGAGAGATGCTATGACAACAATGCTGGAACCTCTTATGTTGTTGGAGAGACTTGGGAGAAGCCTTATCAGGGCTGGATGATGGTGGATTGCACCTGCTTAGGTGAAGGCAGCGGACGTATTACCTGTACCTCCAGAAGTACGTATTGATCATTATTGTCAAAGTGTTAATGTTATGGCCAACTGATGGGTGTACATTGTTTTTTAAAAGCACAGATTCTAAAATGACATTATTTTTACTTCTTTATCGGGCCTTGACAGTACAAGCTAAGACACTGATAAGATGGAAAAAGAAAATGTCAGGGATGTTTGGCATTACATAAAATGTAGGAATAGTGTCGGCTTGCATCAAATATTGTATGGATGTGCATAGTCAGGGAAAGGGGGTGTGACTTTAAAGAACAATCAAGTTAGTCTAACGTAAAGTGAGTGAAATAACTTTCAAAATGAGGTTGGAAGCAAAAATTTACAAGTGGTTTTTACCATATTCCGTTTAGTAATCTCAGCCCCACTGGGGACACTCAAGAGTTAGCTTTGCTTGTGAATGACAGGTGGTTATGCTTCTGGGTTCTACTTTACAAAGACAGCTTTGGAGAAATGTACATAAAGGCTCACTAAATATCTGTCTAGTGGACCAAATTATCCACTGATTTACTGTGCCTGAATCCCCCAGGATATTAGTAGAATTGTATAGTCTTCAAGTTAGTACAAGATTTTGCTTGAAGTCCTTCTGAAGCTGCCTCTACGCTACTTGTTTTCTATTGATGCAGCTCTTTACTACAGGATTGCACTAATGCTAACGCTTCTGTGCTAGGATTTTGTACCACTGCCACTACCTTGACACAAAGTATCCCATTGTATTGTTATCTGCAACCTAGGCAGGGCCTTTAAAAGTTATCTCTTTACCTTCCTTCAATTGTGAATACAGGTCTCCCTTGCTTTATGTGGGTTCTGTATGTGCGAATTAGCTCTTACGTGATGACTCTTTTTATACCAAAAATTCGTTATATGCGAGGTAAATTCACTCTTATGTGATCGGTGTGGGAGTCCACAGTCAGCTGCTTTGTGCTGTGCATTGTGGGAGTGATGCGCACCAAATTATAGTCTCTTGTAGAGATCTGTGCTCCTCACTCGTTGTCTGCAACTCGTGTTTCTGTAGTTGCCATCCCCGTTATGGCTTCTGTGCATCCCTCTAACTTTTATCCTACCCCTCTCTGCTGTTGGTAAATACCAAAATTGTCTTGTAAAAGTAGTAGAAATGGGTCTGGGGGTCAGTACAGTTGAGGTCTTGGAACATATCCCTATTTATTACATTGTAAAGTGGGTTCCCTTTATGCGAATTTGAGTTATGCGCCATTTCCCAGGAATGCATGTACAGCATAAAGCAAGGGAAACCTGTACATGTAAAACCAGTTCATTGTAGACCCATGACAATTTGCACCAGCTGAAGATCTGCCCTGAGGCAATTTGACTTGGTGTCTTATGCCTCAGTAATGCAAGTTATGATAAATGTCTCTGAAGCCTTTAAGTGGCCTCATACCCAATTGTCTTGGGATAGGAGGCTAATAACTTTCTGCTGATACAAACAATGGAACTGTAAAGAACTAAAACTCAAAGAAGATTTGGGATTTGAGGCAAATTTATGCAATGATTCAGTCAAGAAATAAGCTATAAAACCAAATCAGCCATGTCAGTGTTAATGCTGTTTGAAACAAATGGGAAAAATTATTAATTGTCAAATGGGAAAGGATAAAGCCAAGAGAGAGTATGTTACCTGCAAGCTTTGTCTTTTGTCTTGTAATTCAGGCACCTTCTGTTCGATCAAATTGGAAATTACAGTATATCCTCCCTATTCATTTTTTCACAAAAGTGGATTTTCTTCTAAAATGTAATCCTATATCAATATAGTCTTTAAATATAAACGGACAGCTGTGGCTTACATAATTGTGTACATACCAGTGGATGTGTAATTAATTTTGGAAAATCTGGTCTATAATTCTTAAAGTGATTTTTGGTTGCTTTACTTCTTGGGACACCCTAAAGGGGTCTGATTTTCAGAGGGCAGGTGTATTTCCATATAAAAATAATTACATTATCAGCACTATGGCCACTCTTTTGGCAAATGCACAACTTTTTGTCATTTTAACTACTAGGACTTGCTAATGAGTTTTCCACATGTTAGTTTCCTGCCCAACAGCAATCTGAAGTAATGCATACATCATCCCACAGTTGTTCATACAGTAGACAGGACTTTTTTTTAACCCATGATTAAATTTGAGCCATAGTATCAAGTTGCCCTTACATGTGAAGGTAAAAATGTTGTAATGGAAGAAGAATTAGTTAATCTGTGTGGCTCTGCATTCAGCTAGAAGTAGTTTATTGTACTATCATTTGAACCTGTTCGCTCAATTCATTGGGGGTTGTGGGTTACTAAAGACAACAGCAGGATTCAGAAATGTTAAGATTCCCAGACAGACATCCGTAACTTCCATTAACTTTATTGGCAGTTTCCTGCATATTTCTTGAGGAAGAATTTCTCCCAAAAATATTGCCCATCAAATAGGATTTATTTCCTTCCAACTGAAATAGGTCTGTGTGGGTATGAACTGGCCCCCTCTGTAGCATGAAATGAACATGCAGAAAAAGTCCTTGTGAAAAATTAAGACTGGTTTCAACTTTGCAGGGGAGAAGGGTTCCCACAATGTGGACAAGATGGAATATACTTAAGGTTGTTTTGAAATTAGCAAGAATGACAGTAACCTAGAACTTGATTGGCAAAAATAATTTTGAATGCACTCTGTTTTGTCCACAGTGGAAGCACACCTGTGGTAGCCAAAACCTGGTTCCATATCAGTGGGTTAAATCTTGTCCCACTAAAATCAAGGGGAGTTTTGTGCTCCCTGGGAAATGTTGCCATTGGCTTCAGTGGGTCTAGGATTTCTGAATGGCTTTCCAACATGTGCTTTTTTGCAGTTTAGTTAGAAATGTAAAGCATATGGCTAGCTTAGTAACAGGTAATGGAACTGGGTAGTGGAAGATAAATTGGGCTATGGAGGATTATCAGTGGAATAGCAACAAAGGCTCAAACCTGTTGCTATGTGTCATAGCTTTTGCAATAGACAAGTATTTCAGAATTGAAACATTAAAAACTCTCTTCCCCTTATTAATATTCTTTTTCCCCTACAGATCGGTGCAATGATCATGACACCAAGACTTCCTACAGAATTGGAGATACGTGGAGTAAGAAGGATAACCGAGGAAATCTGCTTCAGTGCATCTGCACTGGTAATGGCAGAGGCGAGTGGAAGTGTGAAAGACACACATCCCTTCATACTACTAGCACAGGTAAGTGCCATTTCTTAGTGCACCAGAGGCACTGAATGGTACAAATCAAATGAGGAAGATTTTGTGTTGAACTGCACAAATCAACAGGAGTTCTGCCAGAGGAAGAGCTGCAATCTGTTGAGCCAGGTTTTCAGAGGAGACTAATTATTGTCTTGTTTGTACATATGTAAATAATGAAATACACTTATGCATGACTTGTGTGCACAAATTAATATATTTGCCGAGAAAAACATACGAAAAACAGAACATGTAGAATCATGCACCTACAAATAAACTTGTTTGAAAATGTGGCACTTTAGGTTAATATTTTTATATCAAAAGGGTTGCTTCAGCGTAACCAACTTTAAATTTCCTGAACTGAAATTCTGCTAAGGCCTTCTGGTCTTCAAAGGTTACGCTGTTTTTGTTTTTGTTTTTTGGCGTTTTTTTGGCAAGATAACTACTTCTGCTCCTGGTCAAGCTTTAATATACAGAAATGTTGTAAACAGCATTTGTGTATTAAATTACTTATATTGCATATGTATGATCCTTTGTGATTTTTGCATGACATTTTATATGATTATTGTAAATAATGTCCCTTTTTGTTTGATTATGGTAAACTGTTCAGCAGCTGAATTATTTTGCAACATATCTTTCCACTTCCAGAATTTAGTTTCCTTTCAAAATAAAAACTTTCCCAGGGGCTATCTTCAGCTTTTTCACCAGAAGTTTCCTACTGCTGTTGCCACCAATTTAGCTCCAAAGTAGGAACACTAGTCTAGACAGGGCTCCAAGAAACCTCTTAGCATTTTAAGAGGAGAGCATGGAGCAGGTCACTATGACAAAAGGCTTCAGTGATTGCCAATGTCATGCCTGCACTGTTGCTGAAATGGTTGTAGGAACAGCAGGAAATTTTAGCTGAAGTTTCCATATGTAGAAGAGGCCTCTGCATGTCTCAGCATTACTTTTTACTACAGCTGGTCAAGAATTTTTCATCAAAAATCTTCTTGACAGGAAAAGGCTTTTTCCCAAACCATATATTTCTTATTAATGTTTTTGTTGCTTTTCAAATGTAAGTGCTCTTCAGTGAACAAATGTAAAATAACAGCCTAAAATTGCAGCTTTGGGTTTTTTTTCCTCTTTTCCTTTCTTACCTCCCAAACATTTTTATTTCCTCCTTTCATTGGGCTCAGGCTTTCTTTGAAAAAGAACAAACGAGTGTTTCCCCAGGAAACTTAATTTTTTTCAAGTTTTTTTTTTTTTCATGTAAAACAGCTAGATATGCTTTACTCATAATCCTTATCCCTGCAATGCCTGTGATAGGGGATGATTATTAACGGAGTTGGATAATTCTTTTTTAATGTTGACATGTACTAATCAAAGCTCTAAAAAATGTTATGAAAATGGAAAAATATCCTCAAACTAGAAAATATGGCTAAGAAGATTAAATGAGGTATCCTTTTAATAGACTTCTTCACTGGAAAGTTAAGACTCCAATGGTTACCTAGATTAAGATTTTTCTGTTCCTCATTTTTTTTTTTAATGAATGTTGCTTAGTTCTACTTCTCTAATGTTTTCTGCCCTAGGATCTGGGTCTTCTAGCTTTACAGATGTACGAACTGCACTTTACCAGCCTCAACCCCAGCCCCAGCCATATGGCCAGTGTATAACTGATAATGGAGTGGTGTACTCAGTTGGCATGCAGTGGCTCAAATCACAGGGCAGCCAGCAGATGCTTTGTACTTGTCTGGGCAATGGAGTCAGCTGCAAGGAGATAGGTAGGACTTTTCTTCTAATGCTCATTTCTTGAAAATTAAAAGCCTCAGGCCAGCAACAGTTGAGACAATGGTTCATTTTATCTATCTAAATATTCCCTTGGTGTTTAATGGGATTACTCACTGGCTTAAATGTTTTGCTGGATAGGGCCAAAATGGATCTTTAGTATATGGTTGTCTTAAGTAGGGCCCAGAGCTCACTGAAGTTAGTGGAAAATGTCCCATTTACTTTGGGTTAGGCCCTAAGATGCTTTTGGCTTTAGCTTTCATTCATGTGAGACCCCAATATCTAAACCATTAAGACTTTCCATTCTATGGTGAATGCTTAAAATGCATGTTAATGTTAATAGCCCCTATGTGAATTTAGGAGAGTGAAAACTCAGATTTTTGTTTTGCACTAGAAAGTGCAGCCTTGGGGGATGTATACAAAGGCTGTTTTTGAAGGATACAAAATGAAAGACTGATAACTGCTGGGGTAAAGGGAGAAAATTAATTAAATTTCTTCCTATTTTTGAATATTTGGGGCCTGGTTCCATAGGATAACAAATAGATCTCACTGAATTACATGCATTTTGCAGTGGGAGACTACAGATATTGGGAAGCAGAATTAGTAACACGATTCAGCCTCAGTCGCAACAATATAAAGGGGAAAGATGTAGGTGAATATTAATATTACAGAGCTGTGTCTTCAGCCGGTGTAAATGGGCGTGGGCCTACTGAGGTCAGCACCTGAAGATCTGACCTCTGGCTGATGAGTTATTTTATAAGGAAGGGAACTGAGTGGGGCACTCTGAGCCACAATGTAACACTGTAATTTTGCTTGTTTTGAAGCTGTGACACAAACCTATGGTGGCAATTCCAATGGAGAACCATGTGTTTTGCCATTCACCTTTGATGGGAGAACCTTCTATTCTTGCACAACTGAAGGCCGAACGGATGGCCAGCTGTGGTGCAGCACAACCTCAGACTTCGTGCAGGACCGGAAATACTCCTTCTGCACAGAACAAAACGGTCAGTTATTATGGAAAAATATCTTGGAGCAGTAGGCTTAATTGTGTAGTTCCAGGTATATGGTATATAGAATATAATGAACCAGAGCTTTATCTGGCAAATCAACATAGCCTTGCTGAAGCTGGCTGATTTACACCACCTGAAGCAATCTGGACAAGTACTTATCCTAAAAATTTGCAGATTAAATTTACACAGCTGCTCAAGAGACAATTAACTAATGTGACTCTTTATGTCTAATCTGTTGACCTTGCTCTTTAAATTAACTAGTAAGGGTCTGCTCCTGTTGTGTCAAGTGGGAAGCAACCTAGATCAAAGTATTTGACTCTTATTCTTATTCTTCCTAGTTGGCCTGAGATTTGGAATTGTTAGCCAAAACAGAGATCTTCTGTCTGATCCAATGGACTTTTAGACTACCCTTTCAATCATGAATAAATTGTGCCTCCCAATGCTGGGTGGGGCAGCGGTGACCACCCATAGGCAGTGGCAGTGTGGGTGTGGCGGTGACAAGCAGGGACCGCCTGCAGGTGACTGCGGTGATGTTGGCAGCAAGGGCGGGCCAAGCGGGCACTGCCTGCAGGCGGCTTCAGCAATGTTGGCAGAGGGGGGGCAGGGATGGAGAGCACTGAGTGGCGATTGACGACCTCCTGCAGACACCGCTGGTGGCGGCGGCCAATCTCAAGGGGTGCACAGCCAATCTCAGGGGGTGCACATGCACCTCCCCTACATGTCACCAATGCTTTCAGTTGTCTAAATTTCAACCAGCCAGGAAAAAAACCTGTGTCCATTTAAGGTGAAGAGGGGAGGACGCTGGTCTTTGCAATCCTCAGATGTTAAACTTCCAATCCTGCCTCTCCAGATATGTTGCTATGTATAGCAATAATCCAAGTCTTCCAGGTAGAAGATGGAAGAATCCCAATCTTCTAGAAGAATTTTAAATTTCCAGCTGCTGACTAGTGCAATAACATTCTATGTCATCTGTACAGGGGAAATGCTTAGTAAAAGGTTATTTGCATCTTTGCATACTGGGGGTGGGGGTTGGGAGAACCATGGACCTCTTTACTGAGGCTTAAGGATTGACTTAAAGTCATTAGTCTTGACTCTGGCTCAAAGGTAAACCTACTCAGCCCCATCAGCTTTAGTGAGGTTGTACAGAAGTTTTAGGATCAAGAGGATATTTGACTCATTATGTCAGTTTTCTGGACCCACCCTTGGCTCTTTGGATGGTTCCATTGGTGTGAAGGAGCTGTAAAGCTGGTTTCCAGTCTCTTGGTAGAGCTTCTAGATTTTCCCTACTCTCCAGGAAATACCATGACCAAGCCCAGCCACTCTTCCAAATCTGGCTTTGCTAAACCTTTGAACATGGAACAATTTTCAGAATGTGTACATTTACATTATGAATTAATTGAATTGTTTGTCTGGTGATGGGCATATGTGAACTGTGTCAGTACAGGCTCAGCTACCACTATTTAATTTAATCCTTCTGCTTTCTGTAGGTTTGGTCCAGACACGTGGCGGCAATTCAAATGGTGCTTTGTGCTACTTCCCCTTCCTGTATAACAACCGCAACTACACTGATTGTACTTCTGAGGGACGGAGAGACAACATGAAGTGGTGTGGAACCACCCCTAACTATGATGCTGACCAGAAGTTTGGCTTCTGCCCTATGGCTGGTAAGCTGCATTATGAAGATGCAGATAGTGATGTAGGAAGATCTGTGGTCAGTTAGTTTTAGATTTGAATCCATCATGGGATTTTTTTTTTTTTTTGACCAGCAGTTCCCAAACTATGATCTGCTAATCTGCATCTGTCACTGATATGAGCCCTCCACAAGCGTTCAGTCATGGGTGGCTTCCAGAAAATGGCAACCCATCTCATAACTGGTGAATTTTAAAGATTTTTTTTTTCTTGACAAGTGACACGTAGCAGAGACTTAATCATTATGAGTTGAATGTAATTTTCTTTGTCCATTTTCAACAGAGACCTAGAGGCCAGATTTTCAGTCATTTCATAGACATTGGGGGCTGGAAGGGAGCTCGTGAGATCATCAAGTCCAGCCCCCTTGCCATAGGCAGGAAATCTGCTGGGGTCAAATGATCCCAGCAAGATAAACATCCAAATACCTTTTGAATGAGTCCAGAGTAAGTGCTTGCTAGGGCTGTGCGAAACAGCGCTGTTTTGTTTCAACTTCCGTTTCGCCATTTTGCCGGGACAGTGTTTTGTTGGAGTATCATTTAGTTTCAAAAGTATTGTTCCATTTTGTTTTATCAAAACTGTTTCGCTATTTCAACGTTTCACCCATAGGCTATAATGGAGAAGCACGAAACAGACTATAACGTTGTAATTTCTTGCCTGATTCAGATGAAACTTGCAAGGATGGTGGCCCTTCTGAGGCCATGAAACCTGCTAAGTTTCAAGGAGATAGGTGCAGGGGTTTCTGGGAAACCACACCTCAAGCTGCTGACGAGCAAAACTCATGATGTTTGTGGCTGTGTGTGTTAAGGCACAGGGGGATGAAAACTGCAGGCATGCTGGGCCCTGCTATGGCCATAAACGCTGCCAGCTTTCAAGGCAATAGGTGCAGGGATTTCTGGGAAACTGCACCTCAAACTGTTCAGAGCAAATCTTGTGCCTTCACACTTACAAGTGACGCAGAGAAAGCTCAGTTCAAACAATGCTTTTTATGCTGTTTTTCTGTCCCTGCCCCGGAGCCCTGGGATTGGAAGGGACCTCAGGGAAGGATCACAGTCACTGGCCAGCTACACAGTCAATATCAGAGCAGTCCTTCCCACCTCTTCCCCTTTCCTCTCCTTAGTTTCTGTTTAGCTGCAAGCAAGCCCAACTTCAAAACTTGAAATGTTTCAAAGCCTTTCATTTCATTTCAATTTCGCTGTTTTGAGCTTGAAACAAGTCAAAACAGCGTTGATATGTAACAGCTGACAAAATTTCACACAGCCCTAGTGCTTGCACCACCTCTGGAGGGAGTCTGTTCCAAACCCCGGACGCTCGGACTGTAAAGAAGTTTTTCCTTATGTCCAGTCTAAATCGGCCTTCTAGGAGTTTGTAGCTGTTAGACCTTGTTATCCCTTGGGGAGCTGTGGTCAACAACTGTTCTCCCAGATCCTAATGCACCTTATTTACTTATAGGCTGCCACCAAGTCACCCCTGAACCTTTTCTTCTGCAGGCTGGAGTCCCATGTCCCTCAGCCTCTCCTCATAAGTCTTGCTTTCTCACTGTAAATCAGTACAGCTTCATTAAAGTCAATGGAGTTATAGTGTTTTATACTACCTGGGGTTCTGACTGTATATCTGTAGTAGGCTTATCCCTCACTGCTCACCATTTCCTCTCACATGATTCTACAGTTATGGATACTCTGTGTTCATAATATCAGTCTGTTACTATAGAAATTAGTGTGATGTCATGAAGTCAACATGATGGGCCATTTCTAAAGTTTGTGCAAGTCTCCATGATGTCATTAGCAAGTGTGTGTGTGTAAAACTAGGGCATTTAGGGGAATTTTGAAGGATTAGAACACAAAGCAGCTATAATAAGCAGTTTGTAAATTACAGACCTTTTCTAAATCGCAGATATAATGTAGAAGCTATTTAAAGTAGTTGCAGCATGGTTCAGAGTAAATGTAATTACTTTACTTTACACTCACAGACATGCCTTTTATATGATGACTAAACCTTACAGCATATTTGTGTAAGACTGGTAGCATGTAGGTGATCACTGCACCCGTCCTTGAACACTCTCTGAGGAATAACAGAGAGAGTACCAAATGCTATGCAACTGTTTAAGACAGGAAGCTGAAAAAGAGAACAACATATCCAGTTGAAACCCTGGAGATAATTTGATGTAGGTAGAAAGTAATTACCTCTGTTAGTGAGACATATAAGAACAAATTATTTTGGAAAAAAAAAAGTTTAAATTAAAGCATAAAGCCAGTCTCAGCTTGTGTACCTTGGGCACCTATCTACATGCAACGAAGCTGCTCGATGCGCTGACTCCAGCGTCTCATGCATCAGACACCAGTGTCCCGTGTATCAGTGTTCCTGTGCTGAAAAATGGCAGCAGGAGTGCTTTAACTAAAGCTTGTTCGATAAGCTTTAGTTAAAGTGTCCCTGCCACCATTTTTCAACATGGGGATGCTGGTACATGAGCTCCTGGAGCTCATGTATAAACACCCATTAGTTTTAAATCCATAGACTACAATAGAATTACACCAGTTTGCACCATTGCATCAACCATAGATTTGGCCTATATTCTTCCTTTGATTAATATCTGTTACCTTAGAAGTCATCTCCCTCCACTCCCATCTGCTCAAACCAACAAGTGATACACCCTGCTCAATACTGTGTTCCTTTAAAATCAATATATCATGTTCTGCTGTCTCATTGTACCTTGTTTAGACATTTCTGCCTTTGTAAGCAGAGACTCCTGTCAGAATAGCAGGAGTTTGAACACCCATGATTCCACTTCTATATCGGGAGGGGGAGGAGCGGGAGAGCAGGAGATTTTAACAGTTTTGGATATAGAAAAAATTGAGGATATAAACTTCAAGGACTTGTATTCGCAAAATGTCAACACCTAGTAAAATAGCACTTTCAAACATATTGGATACATAATGCACCCCTGTTCAGGTCTGTACAGTATGCAGCTGCGTGGCAGATTATATGATTATGTGTTAATGTTAATATTAGCTAAATAAAGCTGCTCTTACACCTTCTTGAACAGCCCATGAAGAAGCCTGTACAACCAATGAAGGTGTCATGTACCGTGTTGGTGACCAGTGGGACAAACAGCATGATATGGGCCATATGATGAGATGCACTTGTATGGGAAATGGCCGTGGTGAATGGACATGCATTCCATACTCCCAGCTCAGAGGTATGTGTCTTCATTTATGTATCAAGGGTGTGATCCAGGCACACTGAAGTCAAGGGGTTCATTACAGTGACTACACTGGGAGTTGGATCAAGTCCCACAGTTATTATCTATCTATCTATCTATCTATCCAAAGATCTGGGTCTTGTCTACATTCAGGGACAGGTTGGTTCAGTCTTCACAGCTATGAAGTAGAGAGAAATCCTGGGTAGTTGATTAATAAAGATCCCTACATCCTCTTCCTCTACATTCAGAGTCAGCACCACTGATATCCTCAACTGTGGTTATCTTCAAGTACAGACAAATGCCCAGACTAGCCTGGAGCCTGAAGGCAGGATAAGAGGCAAGGCAGTCCTGCTATATTATTCAGCAGTGATGTTTTTAATTCCTCTGCATAGAATGAATTACCTTTGGTGGCTAATCTATAAGAAAAGTTGGCAGGACAGTACTTTTTTTTTTTTTTTAATACCCCAAGTGGGGAAGTGCTTAGACAGCACCAAAAAAGAAGACTTCAAAGCAGAGAGCACAGACATTTGATCATTCTAAAGCAGACTTACAGCTTTGGTTTCATGTCTGGAAAAGCAGGGGGGGGTGCTGTCAGAGAGCCAAGAAAGGACTGTAACACCATGGCTGAAATTGGATATAATTTATAAGGAAAGGCTCACTCCAGAGCTTTGAGGTTTTTTGTGCATTTTGTTCAGGATGGTGAGAAATACTAAATACTAAAAGACTAGCTGGTCACTAAAGTTCCTTTTTTTCCTGCATAACTCTCCAGCTCTCTACCTTTATATCTGTGAAGGATGGGTTTGGTGATGTGAAGGGCAGAATATTAAATGTCCAATTACAGCAATTTCTGCTAAAAAGAGCAAAATGATCATCTTGGGGAAATAACTTCCTTTTTTAAAAGGATGCAGGCTGTTAGGTCAACTGTTAGACACACATTGACTTGGGGAAATACCTTTGACCCTTCTGTAGAATTTGAGCATTTACAAAGTAAAAGTGGATTTCTCTTTACAATGCACCAGTGCAGTAGGAAAACACAACTACAGGCAGGAGATTGATTAAATTACTTGCTCAAGGACAGAAAGTCTGTGACTGAGCCAAGAATTGAACTTGGGTCTCTTAAGTCTCAGTTCAAAAAACAGCTGACTTCTATAGTGGTTTTTATTTATTTTTTTGTTGGGGGGTGGTGATTTGTTTTTTAACTAGACTGTATCAATAAGATTCTTCAAGGATCAAAGATTCTTGGCCAGGTTATTAATTGATATGAATTGCCATAGATCTGAAATGTGAGGCATTACAGTTTTTTTTTACATCAGTGTGGGATCTGGTCTTGTATTTCTAAAGAAGAATGAATTAGTGAGTAGTAGTAATAATTTTATTTTTATAATAAAATGTCATTTTTGTGTAATCTTTCAGGATTACATTAAACCATGGTCAAGATTATCTTTCTATTTTGCTATATGAGAAAAACACTTTGCTATATGAGAAAAACACTTTGGACTGCATCGTGATCTCTTTATACATTCAAAGTAGCATCTTACTCTTCTAGTAATCGTACTGATTTTAGTGGGAGTACTCAAAAATGAAAGTACTACTCAGCAGGCACATCTACACAAGATATTTATTGCAGACCTGCCTAATTAGCTCCGCAGTAAAGTCTCAACATCTACACATGCAGCCTTGTTAGACTGAAGGAAACTAATTTACTCTGCCACAGGTTAGTACTTGTAAATACAAATACTGTCCTGTGGCAGGGTTCTTTAGCGCGCAGCAACGCACGTGTAGACACTGATGGGACTGGTTGGGGCATGAGGGTGTTTCAGTGCGGGGCTGCCTGCTGGCTAGCCCCACACTGGAGCACTTTCATGCTCCACCCAGCCCCTCCGCAGTACACTGAGTTGGGTCAGAGCAGCCCTGGGCTGGCAGGCTCACCCCCAGGGCCTCTTGCCAATTGGGGCTGCTCTGTCTTTGCTTAATGTGCTGTGGTCCCCGATGCACGTGAAGATGCAGTACCCGGGAGCAATAAACTCCAGTGCAATGTGCACCAGAGTTTATTGCTTTGTATTAGCTTCATGTGTAGATACACCCAGTGTAAATAAAGGTGTCACAATCTAGACCTGTATAAGCAGAACTAGTGATATTCACCGTGCTATTTTAAAATCTCTTCAGGTGTTAGAATCTACATACTGCAAAGAATAAGCAGATAGTCCTTCAGTTTTCATAAAGCTTAGCTTTTTGGACCTGATCCTACAAACCTCTTTATGTTAATGGACCTTACTCGTAAAAATAGTCCCATTTGACATCAGTACTGATGAATGGACTTTGGAGAGCATAGTGTACAGCTTTGTTCTGCAAAGATCACACATTCCTCCAACAGGTCCCCAAGAGTCTGTCGTCTCCTAAATTTTCACTACACTATGTTGAGTGGGAATGGGAATAATATGTTCAGCAAAAGTATTTTGTATCTTGTTATTTGAAGCCATCATTGATTGAAATAACATGTCGTTTTTAAACAGACCAGTGTATTGTTGATGATATCACCTATGATGTTAACCAGACATTTCACAAGCGTCACGAAGAAGGACATATGCTGAACTGCACATGCTTTGGCCAGGGTCGTGGGAGATGGAAGTGTGATCCTATTGGTAAGTCACTAGCCTGCTGCTCTCCTTCTTTAAGGTCAGATGAAAACTACCATGATAACATGTTATTATGTGATGAAACAAAACTGTGAATTTGGGCCAGTTTTGGGTCAGATTTTTTCTTTGGAAAAATCCTACTAGTCACAACTGGAGTCGTAAAGACTTTAGAGATGTTAGGGTGGATGTATAGTAGCGTGAATAAGAGCAGCATTTGGCATGCTGTGGGAGAAACTGATGCTGTCTGTAGTAGCAGTGGCTAGCATCAGCTTAACTCACCCATTTCTCTTGGAATAGTCTTTCCATATAAAAACCTGTTCTCAGCAGCTATCACCAGTCTTGAGTAATTGAGCATTTTAGCCACACATTAGTGAATGAGTTGATCAGCAGGCAGGATTCTGATTTAATGCAATTAGCTGTTCTGTGGAGCAAGTGAGTAAAGATTACCTTATCTTCTAAATTGCTTTTTATCCCCTTCTTTTCTGAAATTTCTAGTCTCCTAACTGAAAGCAAAAGCATGGAAAACAGCACGAAGCAAATATTACCATACCTTGGACTAACTCTCTTTATACTCTCCTTGCACAAGAAGATAGTGGGCTTGTCCAGACAAGCACGGATGTTTGGTTCCCTGGGGACAAGTTGCAGCAGCACAACTTGTGCCACAGCTGCTTGTCCCTGGGAAATGCCCGTACCATACTTTGGCACATGGCAACTTACCCTGAGGGCAGTAGGGGAGGCTGGTGCCAGCACTGGGGTGGCCCCAGCAGCCTTACCTGAGGTCCTGGGGGCTTCCTGGGACTGCTGCCACAGCATGGCTCTAGGTAGCCTGGCTGTGCTTTTCAGCAGTGCGTGCTGCCTGTGTGTGTGCTGCTCTGTTTTTTTTTCCCTGCAGGTTTTTTTTGACCCCTAGATATCCAGGGGTCAAAAAACCCATGGGAAAAAAAAACTGGAGCAGTGCATGGATGCACAGTGCACCCTTGCAGCACAGAGAATATCAGACTATGCAGCATGTGGCACTGTAGATGTGTTTGTGGCACCACGTATCGCACAACTGGGCTCATCTGGATGTGCCCAATAGGTCCAAAGTATGAATACATACATCAATAGCACTGCATAGGTTAGTTAAAACCATATTAACTTTGTGAAGAGAATTTTACTTTTCTAACCAAAAAAAGGACACTGTTTGGGTGTTAAGACCTAGTTATTTGGTCTGCAATTACTAAACCCAAGAGATCTTTAATACTTTTCTCTTGGCAGTGGTTCAGAAAGCACTAGCAGTTAAACCGTGTCTTATTAACTGTGAGTCTTTACAGATTTACTGGACAAGTTCAGATAAGAAAGTTTGTGAAATCTGTTATTTTGAAAGAAAGAAATGTATTTAAAACAAGATGGGAACATAGTAAAAAGTTGCTCCCTGTTTAATTTTGCTATTTATTTCTCCAAATGTAGGCATCTATTCTTTTAAAGGAGGATCAAATTGCTGTTCATTGAAATCTATGAATAAAACTTACACTGAGGCAGATTCAGATCTGACTTCTGCTTGTGCAAGTCCTCAGTTAATCTGTTGAAAGCAGTCATGTAGATGTAGATTTTCATTGGTTAAGCTGACTCCCAAATTTGATGCATCCTTCATTCATTCAAACAGCTGTACTTCTAAAGCTGTGGTTCTCAACCTTTTTTTTAGACTCAGGGCACCCCTGAATAGATTCAAGGCAGCCCTCAAAAAATGTCATTTCTTAGTTTTTACTCTTTTTCTGCCTACATAAAATAATAGACCAGTTTTTCTGCTGCAAAGAACTCAGTAAAACCACAACTATAGACTTCTGTTTGAAATCTCTGCATCTATCTTGAGAATCGTGTTTGTGACACTGTTAACGCTAACTTTGTGTGACACCCTGCAGCACCCTTGAAAGGATTTCAAGGCACCCCAAAGTTGAGAACCACAACATTGGTTGAGAATCACTGATCCAAAGTAACTTTACAGAAATGAAAGGAGTAGCTCCAGATTTAGACTAGTGTAAGACTATGATCCAGGACCCTTGAGGCCAGTAGTTTTGCTGTTGACTTCAATGGGAGCAGCAGAATTGAGCCTTAAATGAGAGGACTTGGCCAAGTGGTTGAAGTACAATTGGGCTGTACTATCTGCTGGGGTCATCCTTCCTTAAGGAAAGCTCCCATGGCCTTCAGTGGGAATGGTGCCTGAGTAAGGACTGCACTGGCAGAGCTGGCCTTTGGAGTGTTGTCATTTTAACTCAACAGAGTTAGCATATTACTTCTCATTTTTAATAGTAAAAGAGATGTCTAAAGAAGTTTCCATGGACCTTTGTTTTGAAAGTAGCTTTCTGTTGCCTCTTTTTCCTCGACTAATGCTTTAACCAGCGCTGCAGCATACTTTGCCTCATGGTTTTACTCTTCATCATTTTTCTATATTTTAACACGGGGGCTTTATTTCTGTTGTTTAAATAAACATTTGACACTGACTTGTACCTATCTCGTGCCTTCAGATCAGTGCCAGGATTCAGAAACCCAGACCTTCTATCAAATTGGGGATGCATGGGAGAAGTTCCTTCACAATGTTAGATACCAGTGCTATTGCTATGGCCTTGGTATTGGAGAGTGGCATTGCCAGCCTTTGCAGACCTATCCAGGTAAGACTCCTAAACATGAAATACATTCTCCCCAATTGTTGTGGGGCAAAAACCTAGTATGCTTCCCCTTCTGATCAGTGCAGTCTTTATGTCCCTTCATATCTTTGTCAGGACTGAATAATTCTTGGTTCCTCTCTCTCTAATAAGTAAGAAAGGGTTGAAATACTTTGGGACACGATGCATGCAGATGCCTTATATTCTGCTCCCCTCACAGCATTATAGGAAATGCCTAAATGGCAATGACTGTTGGCTTCCATTTATAGCAAGATCATTTCCATATGAAGGCAGAGATGGAAGTATCAAGCTTAGCAGTAGAAGATCAGGCTCTGATCACAGCTAGCGTAATAGAAATTTGGGTTCATTCTTTTGGATTCATTGAATTTAATCTGGATTCATACCAAAATCTGGGCCACTGGGGTTTATTTCCATGTTTAACATATAATGTATATCTGCAAATCACAGTCTCTAGGTATTGAGTCGATTATGTTGTCCTGTATATGTACAGATCTTTTTTACTCAACCCACATACTGAAGCAAAATGCACCATGCAATGAAGTCTCTTCCATGGCTGCGGCATGAAATAAATATTTGAACACTTCTTTGCCCAAACAGTTCCAGGAAATCTTTATAAGCACGGTCAATGTCTCTATTTGTTGGTCTGTTCTTTTGCAGTTTCATGAACATAACATGATAACCTTTATATATAAAGGTTGCTTCTGTCTATTCATCCTAGTTTTAATATTGAATCACACTCAAGTATATTTAGACTCCCATTCTGAGTAAAGATAGATAGAAAATCAAGCAGTTTCTTGTTTGGTTCTCTGACTAAAATTTTGCTTTCATCCTGGTGCAAAGATGAAGTAACTTCATAGAAGTCAATGGAGTTACTGCAACAAATAGGTTACATCTGCTTTGGCCACATGTACATGAGACACTTAGTACTTGTCATTTAGTACTTGCATACCTGAGTACTAAATGACTGCGCAGTAACCAGTAACCAGTGTTACTGTGCACTAGCATCCCCACATGAGGCTTCCTGGTGATGCTGACTGCGCAGTAGCTCATTACTACTGCACAGTAGTGTTGCATCACGGTTTGTGCTCCACGATGCTACTGCACAGTAGTAATGACCTACTGTGCAGTAAGCGCCTCATGTAGATGTTTCCTTTATGTATAACAAGGTCATTATCACTGGTCCATTTTGATTACTGACAAAAAGGGTGCTAAGTATCCAGTAGGGCTCAGAAAGCTATTTGGACCACTGTGATGCTTTATAAACCCTCTGTATTTTTTGTCATTCAGTACATTTCTCTGAATCAGAACAGCGTGCTTTAGGTTTTTTTAAAAATGGTGTGGTCTTTATGCAGTAAAGATATCACTGTGTATGAATGGTACTTTCAGTTTCTATAAATGCCATCTAGTTACAGAAGCCAATTGGAAGCTATATGAAAACAAACAGGCACATAAATCACAGTCTATGTTGTGTGCAGTAGATTGGTGATCTGTGGGTAGTTGGCATAAGCCATCTACATCATTTTTGCTGGTGCTTGTATTGGAGCACTAACACAGAAAATTAGATGCTAAATTGCAGAGAAAAAGGAAGATCCTGTGATTAAGGCATGCTGGTAGAACTTTGCTATCCGTTTTAGATTGATCAGTAGTGCACGGTAAACTGGCAATTGTGTTAATTACTTATAGTTATCAAACTTAAGGAAAGGATACTGAAAAAAGTTATTGTTGAGTGTCAGCCTTCCTTCCTCCCATCTCTCCCCCTTCTCCCTCATCACAGCAAATGAAATAGAAGTGGAGCTTACATTTTTTACATAATCGGACAGAAATCTCAGTGGGGCCCTTACCAAAATGCGGCATGAACCCACTGGATTTAACTAACGCTTGTAACAGGTATACAGCATATTTCTTTCATACCTAATGCCTCACAGACTGGGGTGACATATTGCGTAGATGCACTGCCCAAGGAGCGAGGCAGGGACTGACTTATTGCTCTCAATGTCTAAATGGCAAATGGGTTTCAGAATGTGTTAGTTTAATCTAGCTAGCCCGGGTAACAACAGCAGTGAAGACATGGCAACACAGGTTTAAACATGTGCTAGCAGCCAGAGTGCAGATTCTCTATGGACCCTTGGTATGTACTTTCATTGATAGCTAATGCTGAAGCCTATGCTGCTGGGACTACACTGCTCTTGTTACCTATGCTGGTTAAACTAAGCTAGAACAGCTCTGCTAGCATATGCTACACTCAGGTCTTTGTTTTGAAGTGTGGACAGACCCAAAGAGTCACTTTATGATCTCTGCTTCTCATTTTTGGCCTTGGAAGGGAAGGAATAACTTGCATAGCTTTATTCTCATGAAAATTAGGAGCTCTTCACTGCCTGCTCAACCTTCACCTACTTGCATGGTGGGGATTGGCAGTGCAGCAGCATCTCTTCCCAATCCCTTTGGGCTTTAACAGTGATGGCAGCTCATTCAGGGAAGTAAGTTGCCTTCTTGGTTCCCTTTGCACCTTTGTTCCCAAGTATTCTAGCAGCCAAAAGTCTATGCTTTAATGGATTTATACCGGTAACACACTTGTGAGGTAGGAAATTACTTGAGGCTCAAAAAGACCAACAGACAGCTCCTGTTCTATCTATCAGGTGCTTAAGTGTGATGCTGTTCCACTGTGCTCAACTCCCTGAAAAAAGCATCAGTGGGCATGTCTACACCAGAAGCTAACTGCACAGTAAGTGGCCTAATAACACTGCGCAGTAGCATGCCGGGCAGAAACCATGCTAGTACACTAGTGTGCAGTAGTACTAGGTTACTGCTCAGTAAGTGTCACTAAAAAGCCATGTGCCGACTCTACTGCACAGCAGAGCAACTTACTGCACATTGATTTAGTACTTGGTTAGCTTAATGTGCAGGAACTACAGTGCATTAATGAATGTGTAGATGCACCCACTGTGCCTTTTTTAATATGCCATTATCCAATCCTAAGACTAAGTCACAAGAAGCAGTGAGGAGGAAGATGCATCTACTTCAGCATGAACTGTTTTTCAGGAACTCAAAGCACGGTAGAACAAGAGCTTAAGCAACTTGCACAAGGTCAGACAGGAAGCAAGTGGTAGAGTAGGGAATTGAACCTGAGCCTTAAAAGTCTTAGGCTTATGCCCCTAACTAGTGATTCAGTGTTTCTCTGTGTCCAAGAGCAAAGCGCTAGACTGGAAGTTAACCCTAAGGGTTGAAAAAAGACATGGGTTCATGCTTGGGTTTGATTGTCCCAGGCTTTGAACTGTATTGATTAACTCCAAGAAAAAATGTTATCTGGGATACTTCACTTAGTTGGACAATGTCCTTGTATATTTGTAGGATCCCAGAGTAAAATGCATTGTCCTGGGAGAAATACAAATGCCTGTTTTTAAGCTGAGAGAGACAAAACAGGAATTAGACAGTAGATCTGAGAACTACCCACATTTGAGGCAGTGAGCCAATGAGGGGAAGAATAGGAAGCAGACCTTCTTTGGATTTCTTTGTCAAGTTTTTCTAATGGTGTTTGCTGAGCCTCATAGACTTTTATCAGACTGCTAAAACAAACTTCTTGCTGAGTTATGTGAAATATGTGCACTCTTAGACTGGAAACCAAGGCTTCATACTTTCTTTAGAGACAGGAATGACTGGAGATGTGTAAATAAATCAAATATAAAGTTCCTGAATGTGTAGATTTGGGGTTACACAAGCTTTGAAATATTCTCCATGTGGGTATGGGTTTGTTTGGCTGGAAGTCTTTTTGAGTACATACAGGTATGTATGTTACACAGTTGTCCAAACAAACTATAAAGAGAAACCTTTAAAAAAAAAAAGAAGGATTTAATGGCTAAAATAACAACTCTTCCTGCTG